CTCCGGCACCGTCGGCGGCTGCGGCGGCACCGGCTCCTCGGGGTGGAGCAGGGAGGTCCTGTCGGGCGGCGCGGGGGGGTCCCCCGGTGGCTCGCGGTCCCGGGGGGGGTCGGTGGCACAACCAGGGCGGCGGCGCCGCGTGGCGATCAGGTAGATGCGCAGGTAGACGAGGATCATGATGAGGCAGGGCGCGAAGAAGGAGGCCACGCTGGAGGACAGCACGTACCACGCGTCGCCGTTGAGGCGGCACTGGGGTCGCCCGCCCGGCGCCTCCTCCTCCTCCTCGCCCTTGTAGAGCAGGGGCGGCAGCGAGATGAGCGCCGCGATGCTCCACACGAGCAGGATGCCGCACTTGACGCGGCGCGGCGAGCGCCGCGCGCCGGACGCCACGGCCCGGCTCACCGCCCAGTAGCGGTCGAGGCTGATGGCGCAGAGGTGCACGATGGACGAGGTGCAGAAGAGCACGTCCAGGGCCAGGTAGATCTCGCACCACGTCTTCTGGAAGTACCAGTAGCCCATGAGCTCGTTGGCCAAGGAGAAGGGGATGACGAGCGCGGCCACCAGGATGTCCGCGGCGGCCAGCGACACCAGGAAGAGGTTCTGGGGSGCCCGCAGCGAGCGGCTCCGCAGCACGGCCAGGATCACCAGCGCGTTGCCCGCGATGGTGAAGAGCACCAGGAAGGTGATGGTGGCCGCGATGGCCGCGGCCGCTTGCGTSGAGTAGCCGCCCATGGCCCCGGCGCTCAGGGGCCGCGCGGCGCGGACGGGGCTGCGGGGGCTCGCGGGGACGCGGGCGCGCTCGCCATGCCACCGGCACCCGCCCGCGCCCCTTGTCGCTGTCCCCGCTCCTGCCCCGCGTCCCTGCCCGCTGTCCCCAAAGCGCCGCCCGCTCCGGTTGGTGCCGCGGAGTCTGTGCGCGCCCCGTGTCCTGGTGGGTGCCGGTGTCCTGGTCGGGGTCGGTGCCGGTGTCCTGGTTGGTGCCGGTGTCTTGGTGGGTACCGGTGCCCGCGGGCTCTGCGCTGCTGGCGCCGCCTCCGCTGGGTTTTAAGCAGCTGCTGCTGCTCCGGGGGCGGAACCGGGCGGCCCGGGGGGGAGGCGCCGCCGCTAACGGGAGGTGTCGTGAGTTGTGGCGGCCTCAGCGCAGCTGCGCGGTGCGGGGGAGGCTCCCTGCATCCCTGTGGGGTCCCCGCATCCCTTACTCTTCCCACGGCAGCTCCTTCYTCCTCCTCCCTCCCGCTGGCTCCCGAAGCCCTCAGGAGTCGGATCCATCCCTGTTGCTCAGCCAAAAAGCCCYGAGGGTCCAAACGGCTCCGTTGGCTCCCGGTTCCTCCCGTGCTGGGAACTGCCTCCTCTTCCTCTCCTCACCCGGACCTTCCCCGTGGGCAAGTGCTATTCCCAGAGCAGTGCCGGGCCATCCGTGGCKGGAGCAGCTTCGGGACGAGGCACAAGGGCCAGGAGCCCGTGTCCCTTGCCCGGCCTGGAAGCAGGGATCTGCCCCGACTCCCTTCACCTTTCCCTGCGGGATCGTGCGAGCTGGCCCTGCTCCGGCTGCAGAGGGCCCTGGGGGGACCAGATCCCCATGGCCGCTTCCCTCCTCCCTGTGCTGGGGAGGGCAGCGGGAATGCGATGTGGGAATGGGATGGGAAAGGCGGCAGGGCAGCCCTCCCGCCATCCCACCCCAGCCCGTCCTTCCCCAGGGATCGCGAGCAAACACAAGGCTTGAGGGGTGCTGACAACAGTGGATTTCGCCCCGTTTTTCCCTTCGCCTCTTGTTTTGGTGACGACCGCGCGACGACACCCGCAGGCTGCGGCGCCCCGGCGGGGTCGGGGCTGCCGAGATCTTGGGATGCAGCCAGGGCCGCGTTCCCGCTGCGCTCTGCTCCGCCTTCCGCCTCCACGGGGAGATTTCCAGCTGGAAAAGGTCATTCCCGCTGCTCCGGGGTGTCACGCGGCACCGATGTTTGCGCGGGGCGAGCGGAGGGAACAACAAGGTCACCCCCGGCCCGCGGCGAACGGCCACCCTCTAGCGACCGCTCCAAGCTCAGTCCCGGCCTTTCTCCGGTGCCTTCCCGGGGTGCCTCCGGCCGGAGAGGCCGGCGCCGGGAGCGAGCGGCTCCTCAGAGCGGCCGGACGGCGTCCGCCGCCTCGGCGGGAAGGTCGCAGATGCCCGTGAAGTCCCGGTCCTCGCGGGCGCCCGCGGGCGCCGCCGCGCTGCCGCTCAGGTAGCTCTCCAGGGCTTTCAGCAGCTGCCTCGGCTTCTTTTTGGTGAAAGTCTCCAATTCTGCAAGAAACGGAAGCGAAAATGTGGGAAGAGCAAGAGCGCGGGATCCGCGTGGAGGCCCAGGCCTGAGGGAGGGCTTTTCCACGCCCTTKCAAGCTTTATTTCTGCTCTCCGAGCAGAGCACAAGCCCCACTTTGTTCAGGAAAGGCCCCAAAAGCCTTGGGGGATTTTGAGAAGAGCCCACTTTGTTCAGGAAATGCCCCAAAATCCTGGATTTTGAGAAGGGGAGGCCGCGGGGCCGGGCCACGCACCGCTGAGCAGGGCGCCCGCGTCGGGCAGCGCGCCGCGCCGCGCCGTCCAGGCGCCGTAGAGGCGCAGGAAGGCGCCCACGTAGACGTCGTTGAGCACGGCCAGCACCTGCCGCCGGCGGTTGCACTCCCTGCGGGGCGGCGGAGGCCGGTGGGGCCTCCGGGCTCGGCCTCCTCCGCCCCCCCGGCCTCGGCCTCACCTGGAGAGCCGCTCGTCGCGCAGCGCCCGCACGACGATGCGGGTGACGTTCACCGACACGACGCAGAAGGGGAAATGCTGCGGAAAGCGGCCCCGCGTCAAGGAGCGGCGGCGTTTCGGCACCGGCCTGCCCCCAGACTTTGGGAAAACCCTGGGAAAACCGAGGGAATGTGGTTTTCCCAGAGCCGCAGCCGTGCCTGGGTTTCGTGCTGCGACAGCTTGAAGATCTTGCGAGCCAGCGGCAGCGTGCGCGGGTCCGTGACGAAGTGGAGCATTTGCAGCAGGCCCAGCATTCCCGTCCCTCGCAGGTCCGTCCCGGGATCGGCACCTCCAAGGCAAGGGGAGCGCAGTGAGGGGGGACCCTGCTGACTCCCCGGCCCGAAGCCGCTTCCAGGCGCCCGCCCTTTTGCGGGAATCGCAACTGGGAAAAGGTGGGATGCCTACGGCAGCGGCGGAGCCGCTTTCCACGCGAGCGAGCGCTCCCTTCTGCTACCCACACACCAAATCGTTCCATCAAATCCCTGGGAACTGCTCCAAGCTCCGCCCGCCCCGAGCAGCTCTGCCTGAAGCTGGGAAAACAACGCAGAGATCTCRACGGGGAGCAGGGGGAGCCGCCGGCTCCCTGGGCTTCATCTCCCATTAAAACCCACCCGATGGAGCGCACGCGGGGAAGGGATGGAGGCCGCTCCGTGTTTTCCTTACGGAGCAGCGGTGCCAAAAGCAACTCGGTGGCAGAGCCYCAGCCGCCGCTTTGCTCATAAACCGGCCCTCGGGAGACGGCTCCTTTAGGAGGTGACGTCCCGGCACCGCGCGGAGAGGGGCTGAGGGCGCCGGGCCCCTCTCCGGAGCGCTCCCATTCCCCGGGATGCGGCACCTTGGAAGCCGAGCTCCTCCCAGTGGGCGCCGTAGCGCGGGCAGCCCAGCGGCGAGCGCGTCAGCCTCCTGTAGATGGTCTGCAGGATCCGCACGTGCACCCGCTCGCTGTCGTCCAGGGCGCCTGGCAAGGGGGAAACGCCCTGGCAAGGGGGAAACGCCGGACACCGCGGCGGGAAGGGCGGCAGCCGAGCCCGGTTTCCCCGGCCGGAGGGGATGGGAGGCAGGACTGGAGGGGTGGGAGCAAAGCTGCGGGTTTGCGGAGCTCGGCAACATCCAGGTATCCGAGGCACCGACGAGGGCGCTGCCGAGGGTCCCTCGGGATCCGCTCGCGCAGGCCAAGGTCTCCCTGCGCAAAGGGGCCCGGCAAGACGCCGTGGGCAGTGCCAGCCTTGGCAATCCCTCCATCGGCTCCGCTGAGCGGGGACACGTCCAGGGTGCCCGGGTTTCGGTTTGGCGCCGCGACGGGGGCACTCACAGCGGGCGATGGCGAGCGCCAGGTCCCGCTCCGCCTGCAGCGGCGCCCGGAGGCGCGGCGGGCCGAAGAGCATGTGGAGCAGGGAGGCCAGGCCCCGGCGGCGCGGCCGCGCCGGGATCGCCTTCTGCGGAGGAGAGAGCAGCACAGAGAAAGCGGGATTCTTGGGAATTGGGCCGGGCGGAAAGCCCAGCAGGCCGGCTGGGAGGGAAGGGCTYGGGAAAGGCCGGGAAGCGCGGGGAGAGGGGCGCGCGGAGGGAGCGGCGATCCCGGGGGCTGCACCCGGCACTCGGCGAGCTCCGCGCTCTGGAAATACCGCAGCGCTTCCTCGAAGGAGATGAGGGCGGCGGCGCCGGGCGGCTCCGCCGGCAGCCCTGCGCGGAGGGAAGGGACGGCGGGCCGTGAAGAGCGCTCCAAAGAGCATTCCCGTGCCGTTCCCGGCCCGCGCAGCCGCGGCTCTACCTGGCTGGCCGCTCTGCACGGCCTCCCACTCCTGCTGGGCTCGGCGCTGCTCCTCGCACGGCTCTGCCAAGGGGAGGACACCGGTTGGGTAYGGCTGCATCCTCGCCGGGATGAGGGGCGGGAATCAGCCGGAGGGCCCGGTTCCGGCGGGAGGCCGGCGGACTCACCGGGAGCGGGCGGCCCCGCGGCCTGCGCCTGCAGCACGCGGCCGTGCCGCCGGGCCGGGAGCTGCGGGGACACATGGAGGGAGAGGCCGCGGTCGGGATGCGGTCCCGGGGCCGCGGTCGGGATGCGGTCCCGGCGGGCGGCGCGGGGGGTCCCCGCTCCCGGCGTTACCGGCTCCATGGGCGCGCGAGCGGCCGCGGGCGCTCGGCGGTTCCCCGTCAGCCTGCCGGGAGGGAATGTCCACATAAACACATACATATATATATAAGGACACGGTAACCGTGGGCGCATCCACACACGGAAGCGCCCGCGGGCGCCTACCTGGGCGCGGGCGGCCCCTCAGGCCCGCCTCGGGCAACATGGCGGCGCCCTGTGGAGACAGGCCGCGTACCGGGCTAGGCCTCTGCCCTCGACCTCTGACCCCTGACCTCCGGCCAGCGGCTTCCCGCCGCCCTCTGACCCCGGCACCCACCGGAAGCGGCGGCGGCGCCGCGGCGCGCTCGCCCCGGGCTGCGGCGCCCGCCGAGGCGCAGGGCGCATGCGCGGCCGCGCGCTGCTTGCCGGGAGCTGCAGTCCGTCGCGCATCGCTTTCCCAGCAGCCCCCGCGCCGCGGGATGCGAAGGGAGGCGAGGGGGAACTACAGCGCCCAGCAGCCCCCGCGCGGGGCGGCCGACGGTGGGCGCGGAGGGACAAGCCGCGGAGAGGGCGGAACGTTGCAGCCTTGGTGGCGGTGCCCGGTGCCCGGTGCCGTGTTCAGCACCGCGAGCAGCCGGCGCCGGGTTCAGCACCACGGCGCGGCGCCCCGTGCCCCAAACACAGGCCTAGTGCCCACAAAGCAGTGCCCGTTCAAAGCCCGCCTCCCGGCTGCAAGGCCCGGTGCAGCGCCCGGTGCCGCAATGCCCGGCACCCGGTGCCCCGAGTCCCGGCTGCAGTGCCCGCTGCAATGCCCAGCGCGCGGGCTGCACTGCTCGGCTCTCAGTGCCCCGTGGCCGGGCTGCAATCCCACTGCAATGCCCGGGGCGATGCCTGGCGCAAYGCACGTTGCAATATCTGGTGCAATGCACGTTGCAATGGCCCACACCCGGGCTGCAATGCCAGCGCGATGCCCAGTGCCCGGTGCAGTGTCCGGCACCCGGGTTGCAATGCCTGGCCTGATGCCCAATGCCCGGAGCGATGCCCGGGCCGGTGTCCAGAGCCCGGGCTGCAATGCCCGGTGCGATGCCAAACGCCCGGTGCGATGCCAAACTCCCGGTGCGATGCCCGGTGCGATGCCCCCGCCCGCGCCCGTTGCGACTCCCGTTGTCCAGTTGGCAGCGCCCCGTTGGCAGCGCGCGGGAGCCGGGGGCGCGGGCGGGAGCAGCGCCCGGGGCTCGGTGCCAGCCGGGCGGCCGGGGCGGAGCGGAGCCGAGGGGAGGAGCGGGGGCGCCGGGGGCGGCGGCTCCCCCGGCTCAGCGCAGTCCGCGGGAGCACGCAGCGCCATGGGGCTCCTCTTCCTCGCCTTCCTCCTGCTCCTCCTCGCCCTGCTCGCCCTCCTCATGCTGGTCCTGGGGGTCCCCGGCGCCGCCCGCGCCCCCAACCCCTTCGCCACCGACACCCGGCGCCCGCCGGCCCCGCTCGTGACCGACAAGGCGGCGCGGAGGAAGATCCTCAAAGCAGGTTGGGTCCCCGCACACGTGTCCCCCCCGCATGCCCCGTGTCCCCTACTCTGAACCCCGCGTCCTGGACCTGTCGCCCCGTGCCCGCTATCTGGCACCGTGCCCCCCATCTCCTGGATCCCGCACCCTCTATCCCGTATCCCGCACCCTGCACTTTGTCTCTTGCACTCTCACGTCCCACAATCTGCATCTCCTATCCCGCACCCCACGTGCCCCATCCCGCACCCTAGGTGCCGTATCCTCCATCCACACCCCGTATCCTGCATCCCGTGCCCATCCCACACCCAGCTCCCGCACCCCAAATCCCACACTATATCCCACACCCGCCACATCCAACCTCTCCCCCCCCCCCCCCCCC